GCCAATTCCTCCAGAGCAATTTGAACTATGATTGGATATTATTGTTATAACAGGTGTCCGGAACGAAGGTAGCATAGTGGAGTGGACTTGCGGGGAGGGATTATATAACAATGAACGAATTTTTCCTTTACTTTTCAAAGAGAAAAGCGATTTGGGGGGAGGGGTGGGCAGGGAGAAAAGGGCAACAATGAATGAATGAAAATCCAAAGTTTCTGTAAATTTTCATTAAAATAAATTTAAAATAAAAAACAAACAGAAGAAAACATCAAGATAAAGTAGCAAGACAGAGAATGAAAACCTTGCACTTTTGATACTGGTCAGAAGACACGAAAGACATACGCCAAGGAAAAGAATAGGAAGTCTAGGAAATAGTTCCACAGAATAGAGAAAGAATTGTGGGCCACTGAAGGAAGTACGCCAGGACAACTGGGTGGGCGTTTGCTTGTCTGCATTGACATTCTGCGGCCTTGAAGGCAGTGAACTGTAGACAAGTGAGCTACTTGTGTGCAGAATCACCATTTTCTTAGTTGCCATCTCCAAATTACCTTTTAGGTATTATGCATCCGACTGAAGAAGCATAATGTACATGTGAGTCTGTGTGCTTCTCCCAGTGCCTTTTTGCATAGTTTAGGTTGTCCCCTGAAAACAGTTCTTCCAAATGCTCTTAGGACACATGACTGTTAAGTCATGCTGAGTGAACTAAGAGGATTACTTCTCATATACAGACATTTCCAGCATAAGCCACTTACCAATGCACTGACCAAACTGTTGTAGCCATATACAAATGCATGGTTACTCTGTCTCCCAGGAGGGCTTCACTGATTGCTCCACCACACAACTCTGAAACCTCTCAGGGATCAAAGGACCGACCTTCCATGGAGCATTCGTAATTTCTTACTCTGAGATTTTTTTTCTTGACACTTACTGTTACAAAGTGTTCCCAGGGTGTCATAATCTTCCAGGGATTCACAGATTATCCGCCATTGAGAAAAGACAGAGTTGGGACTTATAAGGGTGGAATCGAAGTTGCTTCGGGATCCCATCATGTCATCAGTGCAGATGTCACAGACGTTCCTCCCAGTCGCAAAATTCCAGTACGGAAGTGAGAAAAAGGGATCTTGCAACATTTCCTAGACACACAAACCCCAGTTAGTATCCTCTGCATTTGTTTAATGTCCTCTGCCCTCTTTGTTTGGGTTACATTCTGCCAGTCTGTTTCTACTTGATTTCCTCAGCCAGTCAGGGATCAGTTAGTGTGTCAGTGTCTGAGGGGACTGGACAAGTTCAATACACACTTAACAAAGCCGTCAATTTTCTATAAAGAACCACTGATGCACTAGAGGGAGTGAAACGCAGTTCATCATCTGGACACTTTTAAGAAGAATTTGTGGCGGGCAGGGGGTGAAATACAGGCCTGTCTTGTCTTTACTTAGGCAGCAATTCATTTCTGTTGATTTTATACAAAATTTCATAATAAATCCCAGCTTTGACATTACCACCTTTTCTGATCCTACAGTTTTCTACTTCAAGTGTCAGTAACTCTTAACCAGGGGTCGTATTTTACCTTGGCATATAGTTTGTGGACAGCAATTTATGGTTTTTTAATTTTTAATTTGAAAAGTCTTTTGGATTTTGGTTTAGCCACTGTCTTTTGTTCATAGCATTGCTATGAGTTGTCTACAACTTGACAGCACTTAACAACAGTAACAACGACAACATAGAGAGAGCTCTGCTGGCCTGTTGTTGTTGTTGTTAAGTGCCATCAAGTCGTAGGCGACTCATAGCGGCCCTATGAATGAAAGTCCTAAACACTTGCATGCGAGACTTTCATCCTTTCTCCAGGTTCATAGGTTTTCTGGAGGCAAGCTATTTATGGAAGTGGATGCCACTCCTGCTGGCCTAGTGTACAGAAAATTATGCCCTCAGGCCTGGTTTAAATTATTTTTTGTCAAACATTCTTCTAAATGGTATAGCACTGGTCTGTGCATCGCTGGACAGAGATAACTCTTTGATGCTGTGATACTAAACACTGTGACACTGATGTGCCAAATGCGATAAACCCACTGTGGACAGTGTTTGGTGGAGCTCCTCAATTAAAACAAGCTTGGAAGCAGGAGTGGCATCCACTTCCGGAATGGATTACCTCTGGAAACTATGAACATGGAGAAACAATCTAAGTTATTCAGGTGTTCAGGTCTTTTGTTCATAGGGTTGCTATGAGTCGTCTACAACTCGATGGCACTTAACAACAACAAACAACCGACTCTCTTACACACTGAGATTACCTGCCTGGGACTAAAGGTGTTTTACTCTGAGACTAAGAAGATTCAGGGATCTCCCTGTAACCTGTACACACAGGAAACGCTAAACAGGGCAGAGTATATTTTTTGTGTGCTTATTCTTCCTTAGACCAGAGGCTGGCCTAGTTTCCACATCCAGCAAGCTAATCTCCGAATTTTTCAAATACTGCATTCAAGATTATGGGGGGAAAAATCATGTTCTTCTTTTGTGGGATTCTTTAAAGCATCTATTTATTTGTTATTCCTTTTTGGGGGGACAGGGCTTTGGGAAACATCTTTTAGATTGTTGGATTTTAATGTAGGAAATACTTTTGTTTTACACTTCTCATGTTGTAATCTATTTCTGCTTTTTTAACTTTAAATCTCTTTGTAGGATGCGTCTCCCGTCTCCCGGGTTTTGGGGTATTTTAGAGGACCCAGCCTTTTAAAGGAACCCCTAGTTATTTATCTCCAGAGATTGAGATTCCTCACTTAGAAACCATTGTTCTGGTTCACAAAAAAACAACAACCATAGTGACAGCCTCCAAGGGATCATTAAGAGTCTGTTTGTGGTCTAGCCATTGACATTCAGGATATTCATGTGGCATTTCAACTGTGCATCACATTTAAGGGGCAATTTTTTGGATCCCCTAAGCTGTTGGTTTTTAAACCAAGTCATAGTGGTGAAAGTTTATACAGACAAAATTGAAGATTTTGATACTTTCCACCTGCCCTTTTGTTTTGGTGTTCACTTGGGAAACAGGTTGGAAACATCACGATCTGGAGTCAATTATAAATGACAGGTTTATCTACTGGTGATCTTCTGACTGTATGAATTGTAATCAGAGCAATAAAATGGAAAGTTTCAAGTGCTTAATCATTTTCAAACTCTATCTGGATAGACCACTTTTGTGAAAATATTTCCTCCCATACTTTAGTGCATTATTTTCTTCCTACACAACTATTCATTTTAAAAAAAAGTTAATCGTAACATTCTGTAAATCAATACATTTATCAGAACACTTTTTCTGACATATAATTGTCTTTTAGTATATATATATATATATATATATATATATATATATAAAACTTTTCCACATAGGGTACAACTTTAATTTTTGTATTTCAAATTTTTGGCTGCTATTCATTTAACATTTTATATTGGAATTATAAGAAACATAGCAATTGGTTAAAAAAGCCAACAATAAGCTATTTATAGTATTAGGTCCTTTAATGTGCTTTGAGAGTATCCATTTAAAAAAATGAATCAGGAAATTTTTATGCTTCAGTGGAACTTTATGCTAACAAAACATCTGCTTTCTAACTAGAAATTGTGTCTGAGGTAAAGCTTTTAATTATTGTTAATTTTTCCCCCCTTTAAGTTCCAAAATGGTAGGGAGCACAAGCAAAAAAAAAAAAGGAGTTCAATAAAATCTTTCAAATAAAAGGAGAGTAAAATTTCCCTCAGAATTGAACCCTCCACTGTCGTGGAAAGAGTAGTAAACAAATAATGCGTATGTATGTAGTAGAGACTGAGAGAGGCTATGAAGTGGACACGTAACTCCTTCACTCAGACCAGGAGAAGACATCTATTTACATTTAGTGCTGAAAAAAGATGTGCTAATTGAGATTCTTTTGATCCAGACTTTATGAGTATCTTTATTCAATTACTGAGCTGTAGGGTATTTCTGAGGTTTTAATTCACACCTAGAAATATCTCAATAGGCCTCCTCATCATTGATATTACTCTTTTTCTCACTTCCTCCAAACATAATGATTGATTAATTAAAGAAGTAATCGGTACAGAAAGTTTAAGTGAATGCCAAATTCAGATGCTTGAAATTAGTTTGTCCTCATATGTCCTTTCTGCTCAGAACACACGTGAATTAAAATGACCTAAGCATCAGGCCTCTCACCTGTGAAGGATGTGAAAGTCAAAACGGGGCCCTCACCTGCATGTCCTTCTCCAGCTGCAGTAGGTGATACCGGTGCCAGGTGAGGAAAGCTGGTCCTTCATGGGAGAAATCCACTTCTCCAAAGCTCTCCTGCCCCCTCCCAAGGAACGTCTTCTTGACTGAGTAATAGTGAGTCCAAACAAAGTAGTTGTAAATGGAAATGTTCTCAAATTGTGGTGTGTTGCCGTCTGGCCCCAGGATTTCTTCTAATCTTCTGGTGGCGACGACAAACTGGGGGTGAATGGTGCGCTTCGCCATATCTAGGGCCCGGACATAGCGGCTCTTTTCTTCTGCACTTAAGTCCAGTATATTTCTCCTGACTTTAGAGATGTAAAATGCAATTATGAGAATATCATCTGTCCGCCAGGGGAATGAGCACAATGATCTTATAACACAGCAGGTCACGTTCATCCATTAATGAGCATCTGTATCTACACTGAAATCTCTTTGACCTTTCGCTTGTGCTAAAACCCCTTCTCCAATTCCTGCTTCCTGGCTCTCTGTCCCCCTCTTCTCTTGCTTTCTCTCTTTGCCTCTTTTTCTACATCCTTGCAGCTCTCTCTAGAATTCCAAAGTAAAATGATGGATTGTACAATTCTGTCATCCTGGGATATTTATTTCCGCTCTTATTACCCTTTCTTTTAGAATTTTCTACCCTTCTTAATATAATGGATCTTGAAAAAGCAAGTTTAGTGATGCATCACAGTTGTTAAGACCAGAGATTTTTCTCTGATTCTAGAAATGCTTCTTGCAGCCTCAGTTTTTTGTCTGTGAAGTGTGGTTGATAAGACGTGCTTTATAGAGTAGCTGTGCATCAGAGCACGCACATTGATTAAAGAGTCAAGGGAACACACCAACAAAGTAATTAAATCACAGTCTGGCTCATGATAAACTTAGATCCAGTACCCTGTGCGGCTTTGTTATGTAGTTCTAGTTAGGCTGCAGGCCAATCTCATCTTCTAAAATTCTTGGCTAGAATATCTCAGTGGCAATTTGACTCAGCAAAGGTAATAGAGAAAGACCAAATATAAGGGTTAGACAAAGCCCAGTAATGAACTTCAGGTTTATCAATGACCAGCTATGGAATTTGATGATGCAAGCAATTAACATGCTTGGTTGCTAACCAAAGAGATGTTTTTGCCACTCAGAGGCTCCTTGGAATACAGATCTGGTTTCTAAAAAATAAGTCATTGCAAATTCTGCAGAGGACAGTTCTACCCAGATAGACGTAAGGTTGTCGTGTGTTGGAATGGGGACCTAGGTGTACCATCCTGTCAACGATATGGTGACTGCTCAGTAAATGGCTGTGGGAGTAAAGAAATATTATTTGCCAGACCATCTGAATACTACTTCTAACCCTTTAAGCTTAAGTGATGTTGCTCAGACACTCTAAGCCTCAGTTTCCTCCTCTGTGCAGAGAAGGATCTGAGCCACATCATTTTCCAGAGCTCTTCCAGATCCAATGATTTAGAATCCTAGGAAGCACCTCAAGTCTCCTTCAGGACGGTGGACCCAGCCCACCTTGTCACTTACCTATGAGAACCTTCTGGTCACAAGCAGGCCCTCTCCACCCAGGGCGGCATGACCCACAGTTATGTCCCGAGAAATTGCCACTGCAGCGGCAGGTCCTGTTGAAGAACCGTAGGGGCCAGACCTCCCGGTCATCTGTTCCATCATGAGGGTACCGGGCACTGTGGGGTCGGGAGTCTGCAGTCACTGCCTCACACCTGCCCCGGCCAGATGACCAGCCACACCGGTCTGTCCCAGGCCCAAACACGGGGGAGAGGTCTGGGCAACACATGCCACTTCTCAAAGCCTCCACAGTGACACATTCTCTCGGGAACTGAGCACAGCCCTGCTGAAGAAGCAGTAGGGGGAGGAAGAGGCACCCCAGAAAGAGGTGCCTGCAGGCTTTCATCATGCTTGAAGGAGGAGAGGAAGAAAGGCCTCGATGGCAGCCCTGTGGGCAGAACAAACAGAAGCACCAAGGTCCAGCTGAAAAGGGAAAAAGGCCAAGTACACAGTTATGCAAAGTCTTGTTTTGTTTTACTCTTACATAAATGGCATGAATCTTTCCCGGTCCATTTCCAGAATGCTTTCAGTACCTGGGAAATGACAGTTGCAACCCAGAATGAATAAAAATAGTAATTTGCCTTTAAAAGTTGACATGCACAATCCCACCATAATTAAATGCCCTCTCCTAGTCTGCATTTTGATTTATATATCTATAAATACTTATCCTGGATGTCATTTATCAAAAGCATTCATTAGCAGGTCACCACCAGTAATTGCATTTACCCATGGAGCAGAAGAATTGGGAACCGATCTCCAGCAAGTTAATTTCTGTGATTTAAAGTCCCCACCCTGAGGGAGCTTTGGCAGAGGCCACCCATTCCCCACACAGCTCCTCTCTGGTACCTTCCGCTTCTGAGGGGTTTCTCTGCTGAGCTCTCTTACTGCTGAGTGTTTTATATTTGCTGGTCCCCTGATGTCAGAGATGTTAATTACTTGCCAGTTTCTGCCTGATAACTAATTCCAAATCTGCTCCCCCAAGCTGGGAGGGGTTGGCCCCATCCCCACCCCTTAATAATCCCCTTTCACTACAGTGAGATTTTCTGCCCTTTAAGTACTTGGTCAGCACATGATTCCTGCTGATCTCCTTGTGATGCTTAAAGTTTTCAGGAAAGGTCAGAGGCTCTGTTAGAAAGCTATGAATCAGAGAAACTGAGGGAGCCCTTGTTTGCATTGCAGGGCTTTTCTTTGACCATGTATTATTGGAGGAAGACATGAGCTTAACTACTTTTTTCTTAGTGCACCAGGGCCAAGCTAGCACTTCCACTTTATGGTAGAGAGTGTGTGTGTGTGTGTGTGTGTGTGTGTGTGTGTGTGTATGTGTGTGTGTGCGCTCTGATTCTCAAACAGGTGCAGCCATCCCTACAGTTTCTAGAGAGAATAAATGTGGTAGAAAAACATCCGATGGGATCGCGTTGAATCATGTGACTTTGTGCTCACAGATTTGATACCCAACTCCTTTCCCTTCAACTGGGTTGGTATCCGTATCTGTGATAATACAGAACTAACTTACAATTATGTTGACTGTATGAAAACTTCTGTTTTCTTATTTCCTGCTTTCTCTTTAAGGAGTCTTATAGCAAATGTTTCTACAATAATTGTCTTCTTTAGAGCTATGCATATGAAGTAAATATTCAGATTTAATCTTTATGTTTTTAAATCCATAATTACTGGATGAAGGTTACCAGGATTCCTGATCTGAGTTAACTATCCTATATTCACAGCATGAATTGTTCAGAAAATTCCAGAAAGCATTTGAACATGGCTAAAAATAGAAAACAACAATTCAGCTGAGATTACATGCAAAAAGAAGAAAAAAGATTTCCCTTTCACAGCCTTTGCCTATTCCATCCACATAATTTGTTGCAATCATGTTAAACCATGATTAGCAAGATTATTATTGTTTTTAGGTGCCCTTGAGTCTTCTCCAACTCATAGTCTCTCTGCGCACAACTGATTAAAACTCTGACCAATCCTGAGTTACCCTCATAATCTCCATTCTGCTTGAGCTCATTGTTGCAGCACTCATCTGTTTAAGGGTCTTCTTTTCTGTCACTGACTGTTTAACCTTTCCAAGCATGATGACCGCTTCTAAGGACTGGTCCTTCTGATGACACATCCAGCCTCTAAGAAACATTCCAGCTGCACTTCTTACAAGCAATATTTGTTTCTTTGGGCAGCCTGTGACATATTCAATACCTTCCAGCAACACCACAGTTCTAAAGTATCAATTCTTCATTGGTCTTCCTTATTCATTGATGTTGCTGTAGTTAGGTCATCAAATTGACTATGACTCATAGCAATGCTATGAACAACAGATCAAAGCCTTGCCCTATCCTGTGCCCTTCTCATGGTCTCCACTATGCTCATGTCCATTGTTGTAGTCACTACGTCAGTCCATCTCATGGAGGTTCTGAACTTCTCCATTTTGCTGGCCTTCTACCTTTCTGGGTGGTCAAGGTTTATTGTTCGAAATGGTTCTCCTAGCCATTGACTTTGACTTTGCCATGTGGATGGGAGCAAATATGTGAATAGAATTGTTAGCCTATCCACGAGGGGATTGGTTAGTCTTATTACTAAATTGAGCAGATTCTGAGCAGTTTTTGAGACTTTCACCACCATCATAGTGGAAGCAAAGAATGTAGTACACTTTTCAGGGCCAAAGATTCTTGCACCAGCCAGACCTCCAAGAGAACAGCAACTGCTGCAGTGAAGAACAAGAGACCTGACATAAGACAGAGCTGACCTTGAGCCTGTTACCCCACAGAACCAGAGCTAGGAACTTAGCCCAAGTTTGTTGGAGGATTGGGGCTCAGCAAGACACCGTAATTGATAGGAGTAAGAACTTTGCAACAGTAGCCTAAAGTTCTAAGGCTGATGGCTGAAGGACCTGTGAACACACTACAGAAGCTGTCCTGACTGAGAAATTGTATACTGTTGCCAACTGAAATTGTTTCCTGTTAACTTCCCCCAAAAAACGAATAATTACAGGTATGCTTCTGTGTGCTCTGTGAGCTATTGCAACAGATTTCGGAACCAGGAGAGCAATAAGATTGGTGTTGGAATTAGTGAAAAGAGGTATGAGAGCATGAGGACATGTATAACCATATGGGAATTGCTTTTGTGCTGCGGAATTATGATGAATCCACAGTCCCCGCCTTGTGGAGTTAGTAGAGGTCAGATATGACCATCGTCATGTGGCCTTTGCTCATTTTACACTTTTTCAGCATGATTTATATCTCCAAGACCTGGCCCTTTCTAACAGCATGACCAAAGTTTATGAGAAGTTTCACTATCCTTCTCTCTAAGAAGCATCTTGGTTGCATTTTCTCCAAGGTAGAGTTGTTGGTCCCTTTAACAGTCAATGTTGTTTTTGAGTCAATACTCTTGCCAACACCACAATTCAAAGGTGTTGATTATTTAGTATTCTACCTTATGCACTAACCAACTTTCAGATGCCTACGAAGCAATTTAAAATAGCATGATTTGGGTCAGGCATTTCTTAGTCTTTAAACCCACATCCTTATTCTTCAGTGCTTTAAAGAGTTTCTTGACAACAGATTTTTTCCCAATGTAACACCTCTTTTGAAATTTTCACTGCCGTGGTGTTGATTATGTTGTTGTTGTTGTTGTTATGTACCATCGAGTCGTTTGGGACTCATAGCAACCCTATGCGCACGGCACTGCCTCCGACACACCCATCCCGATTACCCCAGTCACCAAATCAATCCATCTCACAGAGGGTCTTCCCCTCCTGTGCTGTCCCTCCACCCTCCCAAGCATGATGTCCCTCTCCAAGGACCCATCCCTCCTGGCAACATGTCCAAAGTATTTCAGACGAAGCCCCAGAATCCTTGCCTCCAAGGAGTAGCTTGGTTTAATCCTCTCCAAGATGAATCAGTTTGTTTTCCTGGCAATCCATGGTACATTCAGTACTCTTCTCCAGCACCACAGCTCAAAGGCATCAACTCTCCTTCTGTCCTCCCTAGTCATTGTCCAACTCTCTGATGCATAACAAGGGATTGCAAAGACCATGGCCTGTATCAGGCGGACCTTAGTCTCCAGAGAGACACCGTTGCTCCTGAGCACTTTAGAGAGGTCCCTAACAGCAGACTTTCAAATCGCAATACGCTTTTTGATTTCCTGACTGCTGTTGCCAAGAGTGTTGACTGTGGAGCTGAGAAAACTGAAGCTGTGAACAATCTCAATCTCTTTGCCATCAATCCTGACGCTGCCAATTGGTCCAATGGTGAGAATCTTTGCCTTCTTGACATTGAGCCTCAGTCCATACTGAAGGCTGCAGTCCTTGACCCTCCGCAGCAAGTGCATGAGGTCCTCCTCAGTTTCAGCAAGCAGGGTTGTGTCATCTGCATAACGCAGATTGTTAATAGATCTTCCACCAATCCTGATGCCACAATTCTCCTCATAGAGCCCAGCCTCTCAGATAATCTGCTCTGCATACATGTTGAAAAGGTATGGAGACAGGATGCATCCCTGGCGTACACCCTTCCCAATTTTGAACCATGCAGTGTTACCTTGCTCTGTTCTGATGACTGCCTCTTGGTCCAAGTATAGGTTTCGCATTAGCACAATTAAATGTTCTGGGATTCCCATTCTTCTAAGAGTCAGCCACAGTTTGTTATGATCCACACAGTCAAATGCCTTTGCATAATCAATGAAACACAGACAGACATTCTTCTGGTATTATCTGCTTTCAGCTAAGATCCATCTAACATCAGCAACAATATTCCTAGTACCACGACCCCTTCTAAACCCAGCCTGGACTTCTGGCAATTCTCTGCTGATGTGCTGTTCTAATAGTTTTTGGATAATCTTCAGTAGAATCTTGCTTGCATGTGAAATCAATGACACTGTTCTGTAGTTTCCACACTCAGCTGGGTCACCCTTCTTTGGAATGGGAACACATATAGATCTCTTCCAGTCAGTTGGCCAAGTGGTTGTTCTCTAGATTTCTTGGCACAACTTGGTGAGCACATCCAGGGCAACATCTGTTATCTGAAATACTTCAATTGGTATACCATCTATTCCTGGGAAGTAAAATGAAATTCCCTTGACCAGGAGGCAGGAGTGGCATCCACGTCCTAAACAACATGCCCCTGGAAACTCTATGACCTTTGATAAATGTCAATAGCTATTGAAAGGTTTCAGGGCTTTTGTTCATAGGGTAGCTATGAGTCATGCTCGATTTGATGACAATCAACAACAACAACAATATATCATGATGCTTATTCATCCAGTTTTCTGTCAGTGCAGTACTTTGTGATACTTCTTGAATGATACTGTGAAGCTGGAAACTAGGTCAATGGTAGTACAAGTGTCATTAAGGTCACCTGTAATGGACAGATTTCAGTGACATTTACTTCTCAACTAAGAGAGACTAAGCAAG